ATCTCTGTTGTCCTGGAACATTTTTATTGTGTTTAAGCCGCTCACTCAGATCACATTGTTGTTGTGGTTGATGTTGTAACACTTCACTACTACTATTGCTACTGTCGGTGAGAAGATGAACTGTGTCCCCCACCTGTACTGTCAGAGAAAGGAGGCCATGATGTGTTAGAGTGGGAACCCTGATGTAGAAGGGCAGAGTACAGGTACAGCTCTGTGTCCTTGTACAGTCCAGATTCAGTGTTTGCTTACAGATATCAGCAGTGAACAGTGGCCCCTGCTGGCCTTTACACAGAATGCAGGTTTAAGCTCTGTCCGGTTTGTAAAAGGGAGTCGTGGTAATCGATGAAATAAACTTTCCACTTAAAACATCAGATCACACATTTCTACACCTTCAGTAAGCTTATTGTCCGCTCCTGTCCTCACCCGTCCTCACCCGTCCTCACCCGTCTCCCTCCGGTCCTGCAGGTAACCCAGTGATGAGTCCGGCTGGAGCCACGTCTCTGGAGGATCAGCAGTACATGGAGAAACTCAAACAGCTGTCCAAATACATCGAACCTCTGCGCAGGATGATCAACAAGATCGACAAAAACGAAGGTCCATTCATCAGTTGTTGATTCACAGAAAGTTAATCAATAAATCGATTGATAATCAGAACTGACAGAAGACACCTGAGGAATAACGGGAGTGTGTGTAAATGTTTTCTATGAGAGGAATATTAACAGTTTGTTGTCTGTTAACAGACCGGAAGAAGGACCTGAGTAAGATGAAGAGTCTGTTGAATATCCTGACTGATCCAAACACCAGGTAACAGCTGATCCCTGACCACTCTCCTCCTCCAATCACTGATTCCCTGTACTGACCTCCGCCCTGTCCTCTGACCCCCAGATGTCCCCTGAAGACGCTGCAGAAGTGTGAGATCGCTCTGGAGAAACTGAAGAACGACATGGCCGTGGTGAGAACGTCGGCTGTTATTTGGTTTCAAACGGGTTCATTGTTAAATAGACAGAGCGCCTCACTGTGGTCTTTCTGTGTCACTGTCTGTTCAATAGATTTTAAAACTGTGTTATGGAAATGTCATTTGGTTATGTTGTTAGCATGCAGGAGAAAACAAAATGCTTTTGTTTAGTCTCAACGTATCTCCCTTTAAATGGCTGCTTTACCTTCATTTCTCTCCGTTTGATTTGTTCCCACATTGGAAATAAAAGTTAGGATCAATAATAAGCAGTGCCGTCAGTAACAGTTGGTCCCTGTGGTTGCAGCCGACCCCCCCGCCACCCCCGGTGCCCACCAAGCAGCAGTATCTGTGTCAGCCGCTGCTGGATGCCGTCATGGCCAACATCCGCTCTCCGGTCTTCAACCACTCTCTGTACCGGACCTTCGCCCCCGCCATGACCGCCATCCACGGACCGCCCATCACGTAGGTCTCGCCTCACTGCACCCAAATCAATTCAGTTTAATTCAATTTTTATTTGTATAGCACCAAATTCATAACAGAAAGTTATCTCCAGGGAACTTTCAAATAGAGGCAGGTCTATACCGAACTCTTTTAACATTTCCAGAAGGACCCCCAACCAGTACCACGCAATGAGCAATGAGTGACATTGACAGTATACAAGGGACACTTCTGATTTGCCTTCAGCCCCCGTTGTTTGAGATGGGACTTTAATCAAAATAAAAATGCACTGTAACACATTTTAAACACCATCTCTGCCATATCAGGTCGGCTACGTATGAACCTAAAGCAAACTGAACCATTGTTTAAAAGAGCAAATAACAAAACATAAACCTGGACTTTATGTCAATTGAGGTAAATGTTAGGACTTACTGGTTTCGGG